AAGCTAGTTCAGGCAAGAATAAAAAATAATAAAAAAAACTAAGTAAATTCCATATCAGTAGTTCAAGCGAGTAGAAATGGAAGCATAAATATGAACTCAATAAATAAAGTAAAAATTACTCAACTTTTCTGATACTGGGGTTCCCATCATGCGCTGGACCTTGAATAATTAATGAGGTTCATTTTTCACTGGTTTCCAGCTGTATTTACACTGTTTTATCATTACTTTTGTTGTCAGGATTAGTAACTTGCCATTTTGTGACATTTTGAGGACATTTTCTGCTCAAAATTAATCATTCAAACAAAAAAACGATCCATCAAATGTTACCGTCATTGTGTATTGTCTACCAAGTATTGAGGTCTTTGCATTCACACCATGATGAAGTATAAATTACTTAGATAGGCCACATACTATAAATGACTGGTATAATTCAATAAAATTGTTTGAGTGAAATGTAATGCAAAGGAAATTACAACTAAATCGATATTAATCAACCTTTTACTTATATTCTTTGTTACTTTCACTTAACTAAATTAAAGTTTACTTAATTCCATGTTCCAAGTAAATTTTAACTTAAGATTTCTAATTAAAGCTACTGATAAATATGTTCAGGTTTTTACTTGGCAAATCTTTGTAAATTTACTAGCATTTTCTGAGTGGAAAAAGTTGCCTAGCTTTTTTCAAGTAAATCCTACTCCACATTTTTTTTTCAGTGTTTGTGGAACTGCATTAGCATGGTTTAAATCACACTCATCTGACCGTTATTAGTTTGCAGCAGTAAATGATGTCTTATAGATCACGAGTTCAGTATGGCGCACCACAAGGCTCAGTACTGGGACCGCTGCTGTTCACTCTGTACATACTACACACACACACACACTGGCAGATATTTGTTCTTTTTAAAGCACAAACTCACTTCATTTTGATGCATTTTTCATTAAACAAGATTTCATACCTTCAGTGATTTTGCTTCTCCAGTAAATGTGTCTTGATTTGGGTATTGGTGACAGAACCACTGAGGAAGACGGTGATGAGCTTCAGGTGAGAGGCTGTTCTTCATGTCGATTAATGTGAACGTTCAGTTCAGCACATAATGTCAAATCAGTGTGTTATTATCCTCTCTCTGAGCTGCAGGCTCTCGCTGAGATCTTTCCTGTGTTTCGCGAGAGGCCTTTATGAATAAGATTATCACCAATTTCACATTGATAGTTTCATTCCTGCATCTGTAATGCATCCAAACACTGCTGCAAAAATAATCAGGCACTACTCCTGAATTCTTGTGTGAGAATGTGCTCTGAATAATGGATGGTCGTCATTAATGAGAGCTGATTTGCTTGTGCCAGTTCTTCAGGTCTATGAGGACGATTAGGAAATCTTCATCGCTCTGATGAATTGCTCTTCTGCGGTTTAATGGAGGATTGAGCCTCTGTTTGGCATGAAACTGCAGTATATTTTCACAGCACTGCGACTGACTCATTAGTTACAGGTTAGAGATTAATGATCTCCATCCTCTGCATTCAGGAGAAGCTCTTCTGTTTGTGATTAAACACGTCACTTATGTGAAAAATGTTGAATCTGCTGAGATTAAATCAGCGACGAGGATTACTACTGGAATCAAAAACCCAATCTGGGAAAAATGTGTGTTCGGAATAGAAAATAACAATTAATCCTGCTATCTAATTATGTATATATATTAGAGCTGCGAGCGGCCGGAGCGCTGATATATATCGAAACGATTAATCCCAATTAATTGCACTGAAAATGAAAGTTTGTGTTTACATAATGTGTGTTGTGTATTGTGAATTTTTTTTTTGTATATATAAATACACACACATGCATGTATATATTTAATGAAATATTTGCATGTATTTACCATATTTATATTTCTAATAAATATATATACATATTATATATATAAATAACACATTTTGCTTAAATACTTAAATACTTAAATACTTACATGCATGAGTAATGTTACTCATGTTTGTGTATTTATATATAGAAAATAATTATACACAGTACACACACATATATTATGTAAACACAAGATTTTATTTAATATATGCAACCAAAATATGTAACCAAAATTTAATCCATATAAAATTCAATTGTGTTCTCCACAAGGATCTTGTCTGTGTCCAGTTTTCATCTCAGAAATTACAAGGCAATATTAAAATAACAATTATTCTGTGTAAAAATGGTCAAGTCATTAAACCAGATGTTATTGCATCCAGGAATCCTGATATAAACATGTCAACTAAGTTTAACTCACTAGCCCAGCAAAAGACAGTTGCAGATGAGCTGAGAGAGACACAGAAGAAAACAGCGATCTCCACATCATGACCTGTGATCTGACACACTTCAGCTGTTGTGTGTCGTCTGCATCTGTCACATCTGTGTGCGTGTTTGCGTGTGGACTTGTGTAGGTGTGTGTGTGTGTGTGTGTGTGTCTGTGGATCTCCTGCTGGTCGTGGCAGATTAAACCCACCCGCTGGTTCAGATTCACACTCATGCGCCTCCATATGTAGGTCAACATCCCATCAGCGTCTACATCTGCACAGCAGGCCTCCGCATCTGCGGTCACTGAGCTCTGATAAACGGGTCAACAGGGCAACCATTTACTGTGCAAACACGGCTGGAGGATTGAGTCACGCACATTCTCTGTTTGGGCCACTTTTACTTTGCTGGCAGATATATTCAGTGCTGCCTCTGAGCAACCACCGAGAAACACCCACACAACACTTTATTAACCACAAAGAAACATCCTCACAATGCCCAAGAAACCACCTAGCAACACCCTAACAACACCTTATCAACCACCAAGAAACATCCTCACAATGCCCAAGAAACCACCTAGCAACATCCTAAAAACACCTTATCAACCACAAAGAAACATCCTCACAATGCCCAAGAAACCACCTAGCAACACCCTAACAACACCTTATCAACCACCAAGAAACATCCTGACAATGCCCAAGAAACCACCTAGCAACACCCTCACAACACCTTATCAACCAGCTAGAAACATCCTCACAATGCCCAAGAAACCACCTAGCAACATCCTAACAACATCTTATCAACCACCAAGAAACATCCTCACAATGCCCAAGAAACCACCTAGCAACATCCTAACAACACCTTATCAACCAGCTAGAAACACCCTCACAACACCCAAGAAACCACCTAGCAACACCCTAACAACACCTTATCAACCACCTAGAAACATCCTCACAACGTCCAAGAAACCACCAGCAACACCCTAACAACACCTTATCAACCAGCTAGAAACACCCTCACAACACCCAAGAAACACCTAGCAACACCCTCACAACACCTTATCAACTACCTAGAAACACCCTCAACGTCCAAGAACCACCTAGCAACACCCTAACAACACCTTATCAACCAGCTAGAAACACCCTCACAACACCCAAGAAACCACCTAGCAACACCCTCACAACACCTTATCAACTACCTAGAAACACCCTCACAACGTCCAAGAAACCACCTAGCAACACCCTAACAACACCTTATCAACCAGCTAGAAACACCCTCACAACACCCAAGAAACCACCTAGCAACACCCTCACAACACCTTATCAACCACCTAGAAACATCCTCACAACGTCCAAGAAACCACCTAGCAACACCCTAACAACACCTTATCAACCAGCTAGAAACACCCTCACAACACCCAAGAAACCACCTAGCAACACCCTCACAACACCTTATCAACTACCTAGAAACACCCTCACAACGTCCAAGAAACCACCTAGCAAACCCCTAACAACACCTTATCAAACCAGCTAGAAACACCCTCACAACACCCAAGAAACCACCTAGCAACACCCTCACAACACCTTATCAACTACCTAGAAACACCCTCACAACACCCAAGAAACCACCTAGCAACACCCTCACAACACCTTATCAACTACCTAGAAACACCCTCACAACGCCCAAGAAACCACCTAGCAACACCCTAACAACACCTTATCAACCACCAAGAAACATCCTCACAACGCCCAAGAAACCACCTAGCAACACCCTAATAACACCTTATCAACTACCTAGCAACACCCTCACATTGCGCTAGCAACACCTTCACAACATCTTAACAACCACCCAGCAACACCCTAACAATGCCCAAATAACCATCTAGCAACACCCCAGCAAGCCTATAGCGATCACCAGCAGTCACCAGCAGTGTGATGGTAAGTTGTTTATGCACAAACCAGTATTGATGCAAAACTAATTAAAGTCATTTTTATTTTAATTAAAGCTGAAATAAAAATAAAGTAACATATGAGTATTAGATGAAACCTTTGGAGTTTGTAGTGATCTTCAAATATAAGCATTTCACACTTTGAAGATTAATTTGAATCAGTATCCTCCTGGTATAGTATAGGCCTTATATCTGCAAGACTCCAAAAGGTTAGTGGCAAACACACAAAAGCAATTTTTCCTTTCAGTTTAATAGTTATAAACGTGTACAAATCTGTCTTTATATTTCAGTTATACCACCAACAGAGAAACCAGTGATACCAGGTGTGTATCTACATTTCATTTAGTGAGAGATAATGCACATCTTATCTCAGAATAAACCCCACAGGGTGATCAGGATCAGGACTTCATCATCAGCCTGAAGGGGTTTATTCTGAGATAACAAACGGCTGAATGTACATTATCCCGCTTATTACATGGACACTTGCCACATAAGTGTACAATTACACACGAAATACACTGAGTTGAAATATTTATCACATTAGTACATTAGCTACAAAACAATAGTCACAAAATGGCCGCCGCTGCATTTGTATGAAACGAGAGAGAGCGAGTCCGCGATACTGGATGGCATAATTAAATATTGATTTGACTGAGTTTTAATATTTTATTAGCTCACCAAACGCAAAATTTCCATGAAGAAAAACTGTTCCTATCGAGTGTATAGCGCTGATGACTTCCGTGACCCGGATGAGCCTTCTTGTTATCTGGGAATAATGTGCAGTTAGATGACGCAATTAACCAATCAGAATTCGAAGTATTCGGCAGAGCCGTGTAATAATTGAAATGAATTATAATTAGGGCTGTCAAAGTTTACACATTTATTGATAAGACGAGTGAAATGCTGTGTGGTGTTGCAGTCGCTGTGGTGGAAGAGGCTCCTCACGGCTCCGCGGGGATCGCCGTCGGGGTCGTGTTGGTCATACTCGCCGTCGCAGGACTCGCCACATTCCTGTTCGTCAGGAGGAGCCCGAGGCCGGTGTTCGGAGAGTGTACCGCTCTTTAATGTTGATCCAGCAGCACAACAACGGTCTGCGACACACACACACACACACACACACACACACACACACACACACGCCTCTGTCGGCCCACCGGGGCAGAGCGAGGCTTTTGTCGGCAGTAAATTAGCGAAAGGTGTCACTGTCAGCGAGGTGTGTGAGAACACACACACACACACACACACACACACTTTCAACTCAGAGGATGCGAAACAGCAGCGTCCCCAAACTCTGAGAATAAACCTCAGACACACACAGTAATAAAACACCTGCTGATCCTGGGTCAGACCCATCACACACAGCAGAGCTTTAAGAGGAACAGCGAGTTCTGCAACACACACACACACACTCTTCTTCTGCAACAGAGAAAATATATGATTATCTGAGTCCAGAGAAATATATTCTGACAAATATTGTGACAAATCAAAGCCTAGTTGGACTAAAGCAACACAACAGCAGTCAACATCATGCTGTATTTCTCTCTCAGTTTCCAGAACAAACATCTAAACATGGCCTTGCATACATTAGCAGAAGTCTGAACACCGCTACAGCCAGCGCTAAAGTGCTTTTAGGGAGTAACGCAGCATTCTAACACATTACTTTCCAAAAATTAACTAAGTAACGCAATTAGTTGCTTTTTTATAGAGTAACGCATCTCTTTTGAAGGCAACTTTCCCACTGCAGACACAAATAGACAAAGTGCAACAAAATAAACACTCAAATGTGTGTGTTGGATGTTTTCTTTACAGTAGTCTGGAAGAGGACGTTAATGATGAACCAGAGCCTGACAGCAGTGCACAACAACGCTTCAGCCTGCAGCCTCCTGTCTTCTGCTCCGCGGGATCGGGCCGTTGTGTTCAGGCGTGTGATGGTCAGTGTCTTCACACCAGTGACTCTTCTCCTGTCACGGGAAACATATGTCACACACACACCCTCCATTAATCTCACACATTTACTGGACATCTGCTGTGTGTCGCGCTGGAGCGAGCGCTGCGGGGTAAGCTGGACCAGGACTCATCTCTGACTGCAGGATAGTGTGTGTGTGTGTGTGTGTGTGTGTGTGTGTGTGAGAGGCTGAGGGTTTGCCGGATTCACTTCAGTTCTGAGCGGCTCACAATAAACTCACACACCTTTAAAACAAACAACTGTCATTCATTAAAAAACGGCATCAAAGGTTGTTCTTCAGCTTTATGAGAACATGACTCAAGGATGTTTAAGAAGGATAGATAGATAGATAGACAGACAGAATGATAGATAGATAGATAGATAGACAGATATATAGATAGTTTAATATATCTGTGCAGGTCTGAGTGTTTCCTGACGCTTCTGAAGAACACGTTTATCTGCTTCTCGAGGAACATCATGTGACGACTGAAGATCAAACACAAACAACTTTTATTATCAAAGGCTTTATTTATCAAACAAAAAGAATGCACCATTCAAATAACATTTCTATATAAAAAGGAACGTCGGACTGTTCTACAGTGCATTACAAAAGCGTGTACGGCGTCCTCGTGCGCAGAAGTCCAGCATCGCTCCTTCACACCAGATCTCCTCCATCACTACTCTAGTTTGGTTAACCACGCTAAAATCGGACAATTTAAGGATGAAGTAAAACACACATAAGAATGATTCCTCCTCTCATATTTTCACACCAACATTTCCTCCCAATCCTACAATAACAGCTAATGAGTCCCTGTTTTAATAATCCTTTCAGAAATCAGCTGATTAATCCCGGCACTGCTTACTGGAACATCAACGTGTCAGCCGAGCCCCAGCCGAGCCCCAGCCGAGCCCCAGACGAACCCCAGCCGAGCCCCAGACAAACCCCAGACGAACCCCAGACGAACCCCAGCCGATCCCCAGCCGAACCCCAGCCGAGCCCCAGCCGATCCCCAGCCAAACCCCAGCCGATCCCAGCCGAACCCCAGCCGATCCCCAGCCGAACCCCAGCCGATCCCCAGCCGAGCCCCAGCCGATCCCCAGCCGATCCCCAGCCGATCCCCAGCCGAACCCCAGCCGATCCCCAGCCGATCCCCAGCCGATCCCCAGCCGAGCCCCAGCCGATCCCCAGCCGATCCCCAGCCGAACCCCAACCGAACCCCAGCCGATCCCCAGCCGATCCCCAGCCGAGCCCCAGCCGATCCCCAGCCGATCCCCAGCCGAACCCCAGCCGATCCCCAGCCGAACCCCAGCCGATCCCCAGCCGAACCCCAGCCGATCCCAGCCGAACCCCAGCCGATCCCCAGCCGAGCCCCAGCCGATCCCCAGCCGATCCCCAGCCGATCCCCAGCCGAACCCCAACCGATCCCCAGCCGATCCCCAGCCGAGCCCCAGCCGATCCCCAGCCGATCCCCAGCCGATCCCCAGCCGATCCCCAGCCGAACCCCAGCCGATCCCAGCCGATCCCCAGCCGATCCCCAGCCGAACCCCAGCCGATCCCCAGCCGAGCCCCAGCCGATCCCCAGCCGATCCCCAGCCGATCCCCAGCCGAACCCCAGCCGATCCCCAGCCGAACCTCAGCCGATCCCCAGCCGATCCCCAGCCGATCCCAGCCGATCCCCAGCCGAACCCCAGCCGATCCCCAGCCGAACCCCAGCCGATCCCCAGCCGAACCCCAGCCGATCCCCAGCCGATCCCCAGCCGATCCCCAGCCGATCCCCAGCCGATCCCCAGCCGATCCCCAGCCGATCCCCAGCCGAACCCCAACCGATCCCCAGCCGAACCCCAGCCGAACCCCAGCCGAACCCCAGCCGATCCCCAGCCGATCCCCAGCCGAGCCCCAGCCGATCCCCAGCCGATCCCCAGCCGAACCCCAACCGATCCCCAGCCGAACCCCAGCCGAACCCCAGCCCGAACCCAGCCGATCCCCAGCCGAACCCCAGCCAAACCCCAGCCGATCCCCAGCCGAACCCCAGCCGAACCCCAGCCGAACCCCAGCCGAACCCCAGCAGAGACTTGATTTCTGAGGTCATATGATAATCAGCACGAGACTCAATTTTTGGTCATTCCGATCATAAAGTTCTCAGGACACATGGGATATAGTGCATGGACATGTGAGCTGCTGTTCTGAGGGTTTCTGGAGCTGGACATCAGTGTGTGATCAGTCCGATGCGCTTCGGGAAACAGACGATTCGGGAGTTTTTCATGGTTTGGGGTTTTCAGGAATTGAGTCGTTCTCCAGCAACATCTAAACCTTCTCACATCAAGACACATCCACATAACGCTCAATGATTTCTGAAACATGAGCGAGTTTGTGCTTCAAACATGAAGATCTGCCAATGAGGTCAAAAAATAAAACTGGGTTTTCCCTTTAAGACGATTTTCTGAACTCAAGAACAAACTCACTCATGCAATTTACTTTTTAAACAAGTCATTCCGCTTCCCCTCCAGTGAAAGAGTCTTGATGTACGAATGTTGAGATATTAGTGCTGGAAACGAATCATATCATCAGCAATAAACAGGTCATGAGGGAATGATGGAGCTGAATAAAAAAGGGCTCAGACGAAACACGTTTGGCAGGAATGTCGTCGATCACATTTATGACACACACAAAAAACCTCATAGACAACCAAAGGTGTGTGATGATGCTGACGCAAAAATATCCTCCAAAAACACAGTGAGATCCGTCCCAGAACTCCTCGAGGAATTCTTTATTCTCCCGATGGGTAAATAAAAGCTCTAGAATTAATCACATAGTGTTCATAAATTAGCGTGAAAGGAACACTCTAACTCATATATTAAGTATATCGGTAGAAAGCCAGTCCGTCTCTCGCTCTGTACAGTAGAAAACAGGGAAAATATCAAATATCGGCACTCGTCGTCTCCGTCTCCGGTCTCGGATCAGCACACAGTGAATAAATAATGACCAAAAATATAGATATAGGCACATAAAAAAGTCTGTTGTGCACTTCCACACACATAAACGCCTCAAAAGCAGAGAGGAAGGACTGAGGAGAATCAAAGCAAAAACACAGTCCTGCACACGAGACGCTAACATGATGACGTGTCCGGACCGGCTGGAGGACTCCTCGGGGTCTGGCGGGTTCTGGACACATGGAGACGTCCTCTGGGTTTGGAGAAGGGCTACCTTAGACTCGGGCGATCCGGAGAGAGAGAGAGAGAGAGAGTGAGCGAGTATAAAATCTCTGTTAGAAAAGAGCGCTTCCCCAGCGGTTCAGTCTTTCCCTGTTTCAGGAGCACCGGAGAGTTACGGCTCCTCGCTCCAGGTGTCCGTGTGTGTGTGTGTGTGTGTGTGTGTGTGTTAAAAGGCTGAACCCGTGATGGCGTTGAGCTGCTTCATCAGACCCTCCAGACTCGCCATCTGTTCACTCAGATCGTCCTGCTCGTACACCTGCAACAGAAACAACTCACTTATCATCACACATTTGGCATACATTTAGATATTTCTGCTTTATTCTATTTCATTAATAAGCCTTTATTTGTTATTATTGTGATGATTATGGATTACAGATTTGAAGATCAAAATTTGAATATTGTGAAAAGGTTTTCATATCTGTAATCCATAATCATCACAATTCTAACAAATAAAGGCTTGAAATATCTCACTTTGCATGTAATGAGTCTATATAATATAATAGTTTCAGCTTTTAAGTTGAATTACTGAAATAAATGAACTTTTGCACCATATTCTCATCGTTACAGTTTCACCTGTAATTAATATTAACAGATAGAAGTTTTGATTTGAATAACTATTAAATGGCGAGATTATTAAATGCTTTAACCTCTTAATTTTAAATCCTCTCTTCACCATAGAATCCTTACATAACTGTTTTTAACATTAATAATAATAATCATAACTGTGTGTTGATCATCAGATCCTCATATTAGAGTGATTTGTGAAGGATCATGTGACACTGAAGACTGGCGTAATGATGATAAATTCAGCTTTACTGTATATTCCCATAGAGAACAGATGATTTACACTGGCGTAATAATTCATAATTTTGAGTTTGTATATCTGATGTGTTTGGAAGAGCGGATGTGAGCGCAGTCTCCTGAGATTCACAACACAAAGAAACTTTGAACATGGCTGAAAGCGAGAAGGTTTGAGAAGGTCACAGTGATATTGGAAACGTGAGCGCTTTATGAACACATGCATGAACGCCTGACCTTCAGATCCATCGCAAACAATTAGTGTGGTGATTGCATCGATATCCGAGCGCTGGTATTGATGCACTTTAATGGTTACGGAGCGGAGTGCTTTATACTGTATATATAACATCTGAAACATCAGATCCACTCGCCTCCATTAAAGTGGAGTCCAGCAAAGGTCACGACCCCAGAGAGGGGGTCACACCGGGACGATGGGTCGGCCCTAACAGATCTGCGTCTGAGAGCGTTTCCTTAATGAATGAACGAGTCGTTTGAATGAATCGGTTGAGCGAATGATTCAGTGTCACTTCGGTCAAGTCACTTGGTTCCTGAACCGTTATGAATGAATCAGTTTTAGGAATGATTATGACTCGTTACGACAGGCATTTACTGGGGATTTTAAGTTTCATACGCCTATTTCAAATTATTACATTTTTCCTCCATCATATTTCTTTATTTCAAATGCACACGATATTTTATTATTTTTGCTTACACCTTCTTCAAATTCATTTTACTGTCAATCTCTAATCTTCTTGCATGATTTTTCCATAACAGAATAAAACACATCATGCATCATCACAAACCAAATGCGTCTCTGCTGAATATTAAATATGCTATTTAAATATTGATAGTTTTTAAGTTATTATGTATCCCTACGACTAGCAAGGAATCCCTGATTTACTAACACAGGGGAATGCACTTTACAACACTCACACACACACACACACACACACACACACACACACACACACACACACACACTCTCACACACACACTCACACACACACACACACACACACACACACACACACACACACACACACACACACACACACACACACACACACACACACACACACACACACACAGTATTAACGGTAATATCTGGATATCGCCGGTGAAGTGTTCGATCCCTGTCAGTTCTGCTTCATCTCTGATGGGAAAAGGCCATCCCAATTAAACAGATATGTGTCCGATGGAGAAATCTCCTGACCTTTCTGTGTCTGCACCACCTGACTCTCTCTCTCTCACTCACTCTGTCTCGGTGTCTCTCTCTCTGTGTGTCTCAGTGCCTCTCTCTCTCACTGTCTCAGTATCTCTCGCTCTGTCTTAGTGTCTCTCTCTCGCTCTCTCTCTGTGTCTCAGTGTCTCTCTCTCTCTCTCGCTCTCTGTCTCAATCTCTCTCTCTCTCTCGCTCTCTGTCTCTCTCTCTCTCTCTGTCCTCAGTAATGATGAGGCCGGAGTGGTCTGAGGCTGAATCAAACACACACTCGCTGTCTTATCTTCCTCTTCAATGATTCACGATGAAGACGCAACGTTTGCCACGAATGCTCAGGAAATATGAATGATTCAGAGTCAATCTCAGATCCATCAATCATTCTTCCTGAGAGCGAGTCGAACTGTGCTGAGGTTTAAATGAAAAGATTCTCGTTAGTGATGAACGCTTATTAAAGCTTTCAGCTTTACGGAGGTGATCTATGATAACACTGGAAAGACTGAAAGCCAGTGGGAGGATTTTTAATTTTATTTAGATAAACTGATATTGACGAGATCTTCTCGTCTGTGTGATTTAACGTCACCGAAGCTCATCTGTGCTCCTGCCAGACAATCATCACAATCATCATCACAATCATCACAATCATCTCAATCATCTCAATAATCACAATCATCACAATCATCTCAATAATCACAATCACAATCATCACAATCATCTCAATAATCACAATCATCACAATCAATCATCACAATCATCTCAATAATCACAATCATCACAATCAATCATCACAATAATCACAATCATCACAATCATCTCAATAATCACAATAATCACAATCAATCATCACAATCATCTCAATCATCACAATCATCTCAATAATCACAATCATCTCAATAATCACAATCACAATCATCACAATCATCTCAATAATCACAATCATCACAATCAATCATCACAATCATCTCAATAATCACAATCATCACAATCAATCATCACAATAATCACAATCATCACAATCATCTCAATAATCACAATAATCACAATCAATCATCACAATCATCTCAATAATCACAATCATCTCAATAATCACAATCATCACAATCATCTCAATAATCACAATCATCACAATCAATCATCACAATCATCTCAATAGTCACAATCATCTCAATCATCTCAATAATCAAAATCATCACAATCATCTCAATAATCACAATCATCTCAATCATCACAATCATCTCAATCATCACAATCATCTCAATAATCACAATCATCACAATCATCTCAATAATCACAATCATCACAATCATCTCAATAATCACAATCACAATCATCACAATCATCTCAATAATCACAATCATCACAATCAATCATCACAATCATCTCAATAATCACAATCATCACAATCAATCATCACAATAATCACAATCATCACAATCATCTCAATAATCAAAATCATCACAATCATCTCAATAATAACAATCATCTCAATAATCACAATCATCACAATCATCTCAATAATCACAATCATCACAATCATCTCAATAATCACAATCATCTCAATCATCACAATCATCTCAATTATCTCAATAATCACAATCATCACAATCATCTCAATAATCACAATCATCTCAATAATCACAATCATCTCAATAATCACAATCATCACAATCAATCATCACAATCATCTCAATAATCACAATCATCTCAATAATCACAATCATCTCAATAATCACAATCATCTCAATAATCACAATCATCACAATCAATCATCACAATCATCTCAATTATCACAATCATCTCAATCATCTCAATAATCACAATCATCACAATCATCTCAATCATCACAATCATCTCATTAATCACAATCATCACAATCAATCATCAAAATCATCACAATCAATCATCAAAATCATCTCAATAATCTCAATCATCTTAATCATCACAATCATCTCAATAATCACAATCATCACAATCAATCATCACAATCATCTCAATAATCTCAATAATCACAATCATCACAATCAATCACAATCATCTCAATAATCACAATCATCACAATCATCTCAATAAAAATCATCACAATCATCACAATCATCTCAATAATCACAATCATCTCAATCATCACAATCATCACAATCATCTCAATCATCACAATCATCTCAATCATCACAATCATCTCATTAATCACAATCATCACAATCAATCATCAAAATCATCACAATCAATCATCAAAATCATCTCAATAATCACAATCATCTCAATCATCACAATCATCTCAATAATCACAATCAATCATCAAAATCATCACAATCATCTCAATAATCTCAATAATCACAATCATCACAATCAATCACAATCATCTCAATAATCACAATCATCACAATCAATCATCACAATCATCTCAATAATCACAATCATCTCAATCAAAATCATCACAATCATCACAATCATCTCAATAATCACAATCATCTCAATAATCACAATCATCACAATCATCTCAATAATCACAATCATCTCAATAATCACAATCATCTCAATTATCACAATCATCTCAATCACAATCATCTCAATCACAATCATCACAATCATCTCAATCTCAATAATCACAATCATCTCAATCACAATCATCACAATCACAATCATCTCAATCATCACAATCAATCTCAATAATCTCAATCAACACAATCATCTCCCATACTTCTGATATAAAAGAAGTCTCAGATTTCAAATGCTGTCAGTTTCATCAGTAATGCAGTCAGTAAATGTGTGTGTGTGTGTGTGTGTGTGTGTGTGTGTGTGTGACAGACGATCATGTCTTCCTCTTTAGTTACAGCACAAATAAACAACAGAAGACTCAGAACAACTTCCTGACGTTAATCACGTCTCATATAATCATCAATCTGTGTTTCAACTGCAGAAAGATACCTCAGAAAAGACATTCAACGACCATAAACTCAAATAAAAAATAACTCTGCATTCTGATAAACATTTGCACTGTATACATATTCATAGTTTTTTACTCAAAGCCAACATCTTCAATATTTGACCTGCATTTGAATAAATCTGTTAAATCAATATCCACCGTTTAAATGTTTTCAAAAATTAATTTGGAGCAGAAACATTATAACATCATTAAAAAGTTATTCATTAAGTTAAGTTAAACTTTCTATACAAAGTAGTCATTTTAACTGCAATATCGAAAGCTTTTTTCTGTACTGTACCAATATATTTCTAAATGAATCAAATCAACCCAATTTAATGTAATCTAACCGTACATTTAATGTCATTTTACATGTAAATACTGTTAAATAATAGTTTTAGAAGTGAACTATACACTGTCTCCGCTGTGATTGGTGGATTTCAATGTAGTAAAATATCCTTCAATATATCGGTAAATTAACATTATATCAGATAGTGAAATACGTTTTTTTACTGTAAAATTGAGTGAAGTCCTGAAACCTGAAATGTTGCTACCGTATTTCATTTTTTTTACAGTAAATCTCTGGCAACCACAGCTGGTGTTTTACTGTAATTTTAACGGTAAAACGACTGAATTTGCGACTCACGCTGGCCGGGTCGTCGGCTTGCTTCGGCCCGTCTTCG